CAATGGAGAGAGAACGATTACTCTTCGAAAGCATCCCCCCGTTTGAAATTTGTGCCACGCCCGATTACACCATATGGCCGAATGTTTGGCTCATTTACTAGATCCTTGTATCTGCAAGTCTCCCAAAAAAAAAATGTGGGCGGTAACAATCTTGAAGTAACCACATTTGGGTTTGTGTGTGAAAACAACGCTCACATGACCTACATCCTCTTGTCCTCCGCAGAACAACAGCCACCCGGCTCCCGGCCGCAGGCATGGCCAGTCACTATCTCGTCTTCGTGCCAACAAAAGGATTGACTCGACCCTCACTCATCAACACAACCTGCAAACACTGGATCCATGATAGAATGTCCATGCAAGCTGCGCCTGCCTTGCCTTCCTTGTTCTCTCTGAAGCTGCCTGGTCTTTTTACCATCCTTTAATGGGTCACCCTTTTGTCGCAGATAGCATCGAGTAGACCAGAACGCATTGGCGAGCTCGGCCCCGCCGCGATGCTGTTGCGGTCAGCATTTCTCGCCGCGCGGGCCCGGGGCCTTAATGGGTGTTTCCAGACCGGTGGACAGTAACCTTCTTCATAGCGGTTCAGCCGAAATATGACACCTACTCCCCCTTACTGTTTAACCATTTGGGGTTATTTAATGTTACCTTCATATTAAGGCTAATCAAATTACAAGGCTGTAAGATCGCAAACTCAGCCTAGGCGGGTAGGCTAACTGATCACAGCCCACCCTGTCCTTTCATCAGACGGGACCAGCGAAAAGAAATGAGGAATAGAACCCATTGCTGGGGTATGATAACAACCTGTACTCTCAAGCACAGACAAGGGCATCTCTTGTTAAAGTTATCTTATCTTAGCCTCCAGCGCATATAGATACCCGATTCTATCTATACTGGCGCTGACCTTAGACCTATCTCTTTAGTGGAGGAAAACAATTGTGGAATCACTTACATTCGATCTCTGGGGATTGCAGTGCTGATGATAACACCTGGTACTAAGCCACAGCAACTTTTAAAGTTATCTTATGCTAGCCGCTCATATAGATAGATTCTATCTATATGCCTGACCTTAGCTATCTCTTAGTGAGGAAACTGGACATCACTTTACTCGATCTGGGATTCAGTTCTTTCTATTGGTATTTGCGTCTTATTATTTCAACAGTTTACGACAAACTGTGACTTTTGACCATGGAAATGTTTTTTAGGATTGACAAACCATCATATGTGTAATTCATGGCACAATTCAAACGGGATCGAAAGATACGTTTTCCTCTCTCCATTTGACTTCAATACATTATTTTTCCGAAATAAGGGATCCCATGGGCCGGAAGTAGATGGGCGTGACTTCGCCACTCTCATAGGGGGTGTAACCCGGTTCACAAACATTTGGTTCGGTACGTACCTCTCAGTTTTTAGGGTCACGGTTCGGTCGTGTGTGTTTCGTAACAGGCAGAAAAAATTATCACAAAACGATAAAATATATTTTTGGGGGTTTTTAATTATTATTAAAACTGTGAATAATGTATTCACCAAATAAATACAAAATATAAATAAAATAAACCATTAAGGTGCAGCATTTTCGATGAACTGAAATAATCTGATATACTTGAACTGTACAGTACTAGGTACTGCACCTTAAAACAGCCAGCTTGGACATTTAGGGCTTGTCCATTGTATTTTCATGTTTTTTTAAAGAAAAATTAAAGGTGACCTATCATGCAAAATGCCACTTTTGTAGTCTTTTAAAAATGAAATGTGTCCCCGGGTGGTTCCAGGGGAAACTCACCAAGTGTCAGAAAAACACAAACCCTCTCTATTTTCCTCCATACCCAAATCTCTTAAAAAGGGGCTGCAACTGATCTGATACAGACTTGATCCAGATTTGAACACTTCTATGACGTCACAGAAGTGGCGGCTAAATACGGCTATTGGGCCAAACTCCACCAATCAGGAGAGGAGACAGCCACCGGACATTGCCATTTGAAAAGCGCCTGGAGGACGCTGTAGTACATAGATACTGTAGATGGTGCTGTTCTCACATAATCAGGGCCCCATGCCAAAGACAGGTGTTAAATTGAGCGAAATGAGGAATGGCTAAATTGCCATGATCTGTTTGGTATTTTTGAAAAAAAAAAGTCATAAATATGCCCTTATATAGGTAGTATGGTCCTACACGTATATTATTCAAATTATAAGCATGATAGGTCCACTTTAGGTTGTCACATGATTGCCGATTCCCGGAATGGCAGGCTGGCACTAACATGTCTTCCTTGCTGTGGGAGAACACACTCACCCTCTCGCTAGGGACAGAGGTAGCACTAGCAGATACAGGCCAGGTAGCGCTTTGCTAACATGTGGCAACATAAGGATATTTGCGTTTGTAATAGCTTTGCTCGGTCTGAACTTTTTGCGAGTGGTGGAGGCTTTAAATGCTAGTGGGAAGTTGAGGTTTGCACTTCAGTCTTTTTTCTTTGGGTAACTGGTGACATTCCACGTTCGGGTGATGCCTTATCCAAATGAGTGTGCAAGTTGATGTATTGCCCCAGCCGCGTAAATCATTTTTTACAATGATGCTGGAGGATTTTCGAGCTCAACTTTCTCGTGCGTTCGCCATTTCGCCCAGTTCCCCGTGCAAATTACTGACTAAATTTGAACGCATCCCCTGTGACCAACTCTCATAGTATGCCTCTCGTCCAATGAAATGACTTGCTTGCTCTTATGACGCCGTTGAACCCCAATGTGAGGCAAATTTACTCTGAATGCTGCAACGCAGCACCTGAGATTACTGTTGTTTACGTTCTCAATTTTTTACGTTTAACGTTATATTCGTTCTGTACACTTCGGTACACACGTGTACCGAACCGAAGGGCCCATACCGAATATTTCCGGTACGAATACGTAAACTGTTACACCCCCTACTATCCACTGAGCCACAGCCGCCCCATAACAATGCAGATTTCGAACTCTGTTGTGGCTACTCAATACATTTAAGGAACCTCATTGAAGTTGTGTTACATAAATATAAACACGCGTTGGACACTGCTTAAACTCTTCATTCTATTCTAAACCCTTGCTGAATACATAACATTTCAATGTCTACATCTTGCAACCTAAATACAGTGTATTTGTTGGGAACACTTTGAGAAAAGGTGCATTAGTAAATGTATTATGCTGTAGTTGATTGTGTGCATGCCTGTTTATGTGAATGTGTTCCCTACTGCGTGGCAGAATCTTTGTGCTTGTGTGTGTCAGTGTGTTATTGCGTTGGTGTTTATGTGCCTTTGTGTACAGCTCCATACGTCCTCTATAGGAGCTGCTGGGAGGCTGATCTGCTGCAGAGCTGCTCAGACTCATTGTTCCTTCTCTGCACCTCCTCTCCTCTCCTCCTTTCCTGTCCTCTTTTGCTCTTCCTGTCTTTGTTCTTGTGTCCTTTTCTCCTCCTCTTTTGCCTGCAAATCTTCTCCTTTTTCCTCTTCTTTTCCTCTCTTTTCACCATCTCGTTGTATTGTCCTTCTTTTCCCTCCCTTTTGCTTTGTTCTCTATTTTCAAGGTCTTCTTGGCTTTTCCACCATCCTGTCTTCTTCTCTGGTGTCCCTTCTTTCCTCAACCCTTCTGTCCTCTCGTTCTCTTCCTTTTTGTATATTTCCCTCATCCCCTTGTCTCTAATATCAGCTATTCTCTTTTCTTCTTTGCATTTGCCTTCTCTTCTTCATGTTCTGGTATGACATTGTTTTCTTTTGTCCTCTGCTGTTCTACTGCTGTCCTCATCTTCATTGTATTCTTCTACTGTCTTTGTCTTTTCTCTTCTGATTTTCCCTTGTAACTTTTGCCATTTTCTTTATTGTCCTTTTCTCTTCTGTTCTTTCTTCTTGCCTTCAATCTTTGTTATGCTCTTGTTTTAATCTTCTTTGATTGTGTCCTCCTCTATTCTCTTCTCCATTTGTCCTCTTTCCTCCTATCTGCTTGTTGCCCCCCTCTTCCTTTCTTTTCTCTATGTTCTAGTCTTCCTTTGTCCTCCTATGCCCTCTTCTCCCCCATTATTTCTGTTTTATATGCTTTGTCTCTTTCATTGTCCCCTTCTTTCTCTTTTCTATTTGTTCTATTATTTCCTCCTTTTTGCTTTTGCCCTCCCATTTCTTCTTCTTTTATGTCCCACTCTTTCCATTTTTGTCTTTTGTTCAACATCGTCCTTATTTTTCTCTTCCTATTTTGATTGTCCTCTACTTTGTCTATTTTCCTTCTTCACATATCCCCTTTGCCCTCCTCTCCATATCCTCTATTTTCCTTATTTTGTCTTCCTCTTCTCAATTGTCCTCTCCCGCTTCCTTCTCTCTCCTCTCTTCTCCTCTCCTCCTTCCTCTCCTCGGGGTGAGATATTGCCTGTGTGATGGGCTGTGACAGTGACGTTAATGGAAGCACTGTACATTTAACGACCTATATCTCCGGAAATTCCTCCGCCGCTTCTCATTGTTCTCACACACACAAACGCACACACATCTGAAACTATACGAAAGGCAATCAGTGCAGCAGCAGAAACAGATACATGTTTGGACACCTGTTAACACACCAGATATTTGTTTGTTGTTTTTTGCCTCAACAATAGATAACTACGTTTTTTGGCTAGCGTTTATGCGAGTGTGTGGTGTGTGTGTGAGCGTCAAAGGACAAATGTCATTTAACTCGGTGTGACTGTGTGTGTGTGTGTGTGTGTGTGTGTGTGTGTGTGTGTGTGTGTGTGTGTGTGTGTGTGTGTGTGTGTGTGTGTGTGTGTGTGTGTGTGTGTGTGTTGTGATATGACACAACTATCAATGGCACAACAAAACAGCGGGGGATTAGCTGAGCTGGAAGCAAAGCTGAGGAAGAGCAAATGAGCAGAAGGAAGTGAGAAGGGATGACATTTACAACAGGGACAAAAAATAGTTAAGAAGGAATGGATAAAGAAAAAAGAGTTATAGAAGAAATAAGGGATGTAAAAGGAAAATAATGATGAAAATAATTCTAAGTTGAATGTGTTGAGAGTTGAGTTTCATTCTCATTGTAGCTAAATGGCATTCCCTACAAAGAAACATTGAATTAGTTCATTAAATGGCTCTGTTTTTGCACTGATAGAAATAGGGCAATGGAATGAAACATAATGCAACCATTATCTACTGAGCCGTTAACTCAATTAACTTCTGGACTTTATTAATTCATACTTGTCCTTTCATTACCAACTTTTATTCAAGATATGTTAGCATTGTCATAATCATAGTGCGTTTATATGTTTTTTGCAGACAATGTACCGTTCTATCTATGCTTCTGTTCTTTACTATCCCACTTGTTTCAGGTTGTGTTGACTTCATGAGA